AAGCTAGTAGTAACAGGTGCCTTACTAGTAGTAACAAGAAGCTATTATTTTAATTTTAACTTAATTCTAATAGCTTTGTGTTACTACCAGTAAGGCACTTGTTACTACTAGCGAGGCACTTGTTACTAGTAGTCTCATAGGCCTGTGCATCGCTTACTAGTAAGGCACTTGCCTACTTTTCCTGGCCGCAGCAGAATCTTGCACTCAGCAAGTTCCACTGTAACGGTAACCAGTTGTCTCAAACACACAGAACCCCGTATTGTGTCCAGGAGTAACGTTGTGGCCATTGTTCACTTGGCAAGCATGGCTCTTAAACACTATTCATGAGATAGCTGGGTGCAACAATGCAGGGTGGTTGATGCCACCCATGTACCTCTTTTTGGACTAAATGCATTGAAATACATCTGGCAGCCATTACGCCCGCAGCTTGCGATGTTGCAGAGTCCCTCCAAACCCTTGTTCATAAAACTTTGGTGTCAGTCAAGACCTTACCTAACCTCTGTCTTGTAACGGTTGCAGTTTAGAATCTCTGACTGGGGCAGGACAGTGGTCAGTGTCATGACAAAACATGTATGTAGCAGCAAAGTCCTCTGATGCTGCTAATTTAATGTATGCTAGAGTTAGGTATTTGATGGCCTTATTCTTGCCAAAGTGGGCAATTTGTTTCGAGTGTTGCATGCAGATAGTATGGGTCTGTACCCGTGCAGCTTCCTGTAGTGCTTGCTGACCATGCTATGCTGGCTAGGTAAGGGGGGTGGTGTTGCCAATGTACAGGTTTGGCTGGTTTTGAGATTGGGGGGGTTCATTGGATCAGCTTCACCGCAGTCACAAAATATTGTATCTCTCCCCTTCCCTGCCCCAAGGCCGACAAATTATTAACCCATATGCAAACCAATTGCAATGCAGTCATTACTCCAAAATCCCCCTGGGGCGCGCTCGAGCCAAGCACAGAGTGCACGCCGAGGTTTCCAAAGCCATGAGGCGCCACCTAAGCTGGTTGCCGACACGGCGGGCAAAGCACAAACACTTGCTATGTGGGCTAGGGACTCCTGGCCAAACTACCAGGAGCAAGAAGCTACTAGGAGGAAAAGGGCATCGCTACTAGGAGCAAGGACGCTATTAGGAAGGCTGTTGCCTGAGACAAGAACGCATGATGCGTCTCATCAATACTTGCCGACTGCAAATTTAGCCTACTTGCGGTCAATCGCCTAAGGTTCAAACACGCACCCAAACTAGCATAAGGCCATATAAGGCCTATTTACAAGAATGTGAAGAACCGTGATTTGAACCAATCTCGTGGCTTAAAGAGCCGAGGCCATGTTCATATTTCGCGAGCTTCACAGTCAATTGGCCTCACGTCAGGGTGCATTGAGTTGATGGTCTTTTCTTTCCCAAACCGGCCCATCTTTTCCCAATCTTCTTCAGTTTCAGATGGAGGTCGACGAACATAGTTTGTACCACCTTTGGGAGTTGGTTTCCATCCTCAGAGATGTGGTTCTTCCTCCTTCTCTTCTTATTCATCCTCTTCTTAAGTTCTTGATCAAGTGTTGAAAGTTCGCAAATGAGGAAGCAACGTGGGGTCGAAGTTGAATCTCGTCTTACTTGTCTCAATGTTTCTGTGACTTGGCGGGTGGCCGGATGGAAATGTATGCAGGCTCTTCTAAAAGCCACTTCTGCAACTCATTGCTTTTTGCTGTTCCTGTTTGTAGTGTGCCAACCTTTCTCTCACGCCTGATAAAAGGCCCCGCGTTTTCTCGACTTTCCTTGCTTGCTAATGAGTCTCTTGTTAAATAATGAGTCGATCTATTCTCAAACAAATGTAGGGCATTTCCTCACACATACTCATACTGTAAAGTGGAACGTCTATCACATCTCTCAGGCGTCAAGGTGTTGATGAGCATTCTTCATTGCCTCTTGTAACAGGTGTCAAGCGAGAACCTGTCTGCTCAAACCTCCTTATTGGAGAGCATTCTTCATTTAGCAGTCATTGTTGTGAAATCACTGGACTGGACAGGTGCTTGTGCTGCGGTGATGTCTCAGAACGTGGGTTCAACATTGCCTTTTACATTTTGTCGTGCCCAGCAATCGCCGTCAACGCAGCCTCGCATGCCAACAAATATCAATTGCCATGGCGGCCGGCTCGAAATACAAGTTGAACACTTCATGTGGGCATCTTCTTGCTCCTCTTCTTCCGTGAGACGATCTGCAACTTTCCTTCTGTCAGACCATGTTGCAATTAGTGGCTTTATCCTCATGCTGCAATAGTATCATTTTCTCTAGCCGAAATCACATGTTCATCCATCAGACACACCATATGAACAAAACAGTATATATATATATATACTGTATACAAATATATATACAAAGATAAACATATAGATAAGAATGTGTGATAATGTGCACAATAGAATGGCGAATGGGATTCTAAGATTCTGACCATGTTCTTCAGCATTCCAATTCGCTTATTCGGGTCTCCTCCACCATCTGATCCTTTCATGATCTTCACCTCCAAGCAGGATCCTACCCTTTCAATCATCTTTTGAACTTATACTGAAGCTCGCGTGAATCGCATGACAGGACAGCCAGTCACCGAGCTTAGGCAGGGGCAGAATCAAAGTGGGTTGCGTGAAGCCAGCATGAATGAAACCTTCAAGAATTGCAAATTCTCAGAAATTTGTCACATGTTTTTCTCCTGAGTTTTTGTGTTTTTTTTTTTTTTTTGCTCCGATGGTGGCAACATGTGCCAATGTAAGCACAATGATGAGTGACCAACCCGGCATCGTGGAGAACCTGAATGGCGAGCTAAAAGGTGACGTTGGCTTTAAACCAGACCCTGATTCATTACACCATACGGTCCACATCGGTCCACCCGGAACCTTGAACACAAAGGAAGTTACATATGGTGAAATGGACCTTCAAGCAGGCCTAAGTGTTGTTCAGTTCGTATTCAGTATTCCACAAGCGAGTTTGCTACATGGAGTGCCTTGGGGTTTTCCGGAGTGATTTCGGCGATGAGGATCTTGTTTGGGTAGTGCGCCTGGCTCATTCGGCAAAAAGGTGAACGATTGCTTCTGACATTCGCAGGCACCACGTCCTCTTGCTCCTAGTAATGGCCTCCACCTAGTGGCTTCTAGTTACTAGAAAGCTTCACAGACCTACTAGTAGCTTTTTGTTACTAGTAGTAAGGCCAGGAGGTACTAGTAGCGTCCTTGCTCCTAGTAGAAATGCCCTGTGCTACTAGTAGCTATGACTATGACCATGTCTTGCCTTGATTTCGTGTGTCATCTGCTGAAGAAGCCACCAAGGCCTGCTTGACTCTCACAATATCTGCACATGGCGCAGTCCATGCTTCTAAGCCGCTCGCATATTGTGCACGGAATCAAAGCGCAATCCATCAACGCCGTACTCCTCAATCCAGGTGCGGCAGGCCTTGGTGGGTCTTGAAAAGCGTCAATTCAATCGGCCAGACAAAGAGCCAAAGGACGGAAAAGCAATGAGTATGGGTGGTATGGGTAGGAAGCTACTAGTAACAAGTGCATCGCTACTAGGAACAAGTGCCTTACTAGTAGTAACAATGTTTGCTACTAGAAACAAGTGCTCATTGGCACAAATCTTCGACCTGTGAGCTGCAAATGACTTCTTGGAGTCTTCCACTCCGACTAGTAATCCATTGGGTGCCTTTTGTGGATCAGTCTGATCAGTTGCAGCAACTACTCGACAAAATATATCGTGCTCGTTTCGAACAAGCACTCCCTAGAATTGGGTTTCCAGAAAGGAAGCATGGTGTGTCTGTGCACCGGTTTTTGGCAGGTGCCCTCACCTCCAGGCAAGCACCTCCCTTACCAATCTGGGATATCACATTGGAGGGTGACATTATTTCTTATTAAAATCCTTTCGTGGGTTCAGGCCTTGGCTATGGTGGCTTTTGCTGCCTTCTTAGCTGTGGCTTTGGTAGTTTGTCGCTTTGGATTGGTGCGGGCCTAGTTTCTGGCTTTTGATATCTTTTGATGGTTTCCGCTAGCTTTTGGTTGCTTTTCCTAGTGCTTTGCATGGATTTTTGGTGGCGTGGGTGTCTTCTTATTTCTGTCCGTTCCATAGGATAAGGGCTTGGGGTCAAGGTTTGCACAAAAGTGTCCTCAACTTTGACCTTGCCTCTTGAGGCCTTGAGATGACCTCTTGAGCTCTGCATGCTACTGTCGCTTGCAAAGGTTTGGCGCGTTTCCTACACATTTTTCTGTAAAGGAAATTGAACAGTAGAATCAAAGAAGCTCCAAAGGAAATTTTAGGCCGTTCAAGATGAATTTCACAGTGTATCTCAATTTACGGGAATTTAACATTTTAGCATTCAACTAGAAACAGGTTCTTAACACAAATTGATTAAGGCTACATATTTATATGCATATAAGGAACTCTAGACTGAATTTACAAAGAAAAGCATACTTAACTCAAAATTGAACAGGAATTAAGAACCCATAATTAATTCATTCATTGCAAGCGGAGAAAGAACACCCCAAAAATACCAGGGTATCCACATCCAACTGCCCGGTGTGCGCTCCTTGCCTGCTTCAAGTAGTCCTGTACCTCTGCCTTGTGGAAGGCAAAGCGCTTGCCCCATGGCCTTGGAATATGCACACAAATCACAATGCAAGCATGGAAATCTGATGGAGCTCCTCCGCACCAACACTGCGCTCAATGTGTGAGCTGGGGTCCAAAGTTTGGTGCTCTCAAAAACAATTAAATCCCTAAATTTGTCATAGATAGGACACCATGTCGATCTAGCGTGAGGTCACTGGTCACTAGAGGCCCTCATAGTGTCTGTGCAGTTCTTTGGCTTGGGCGTATCTTTCTCCCCTTCGAAGAAAATGCCTCCGCAATTGTCAGGTCCTCGCAACGTTTCAGCAACGCCCTCTGTCAGGCAAAGGGGTCACTATGCATCAGAAAAATCAAACTTTATGAACGCTAGAAATGAATCGCATTGGGCCAGCCAAAAAAAAACAAAGGCTGCAAAAAGGAAGACGGTTGCAAAAAAATGATAGCAAAAAGAAGGCCCTGAGAGGTGCTTTAACCTTCAAATGGATCCGGTGTGCAGTATATAAGTCTGGTAGGCTACAACTTTAAGTATACCTGCTCCCATTTGTCGAACTGACTAACAGTCCTCGGCATTTATATACCAAAAGGAAAGCAATGTGGGTCGGAACGGGAGTGATGAATGACAGGGTCGTAGAGACAATGAGAAACCGAGAGAAACATATGTTTACTAGACGACGAGTGGCCCGAAAGCATTTTTCATCACGTAGGAAATCAGAGTGCGAGTTATCCGGTAAGTGTGTAGTGAGAAGTGTTAAGTCGAGTGAGTTGAGGTAGTGTGTGGGTTTCTGTGCGTGTGTCTATGTCCGTGTGGAAACGAGTCTGCGTATGTGTGCGTTCGTGGAAGTTGAGGGAGCGTGTGCGTGTTTGTGTGCGATGCGGCCTCCCAAACCCCCCACCGGCGGCCAAGCGGTGACAGCCCAGCTCATCGTCGTGAGCATTTGGGCTG